CAAGAGCTGATTAATATGTCCTCAGCTCTGAAATCTTATCTACTGTATGACTCTATAAGCTCCCATAGGACACTGATGCTCTCCCACTTCTATGCAATATTCTTCAGTATCTAATTTTCAGCATCAAAATCATAAGGACACAGAACATGTACTAGTACTGAATTCTCATCATCCTTGATTATTACCCATGTTGGGAACTGAAGTCTAATAATGTGTAGATACCCAGATGTTTTCTCCCTGGTAAAGCAAATAAAGACCTTTCATGTGGAGAATATCAGATCATGTCAGCCAAGATTTATTTTTGTTGTGTAATTTCTCCTGAAAATCAATACTTTTCCCATCACCCATATCCTTTGAAGATTTTAACTTGAGATGTTCAGCTTGCAAACAATATGTTCTTTCACCAAGTGTGATCCAGCAATTAAGGCAAATACTTATATAACTTTAATCTGTTAACCTTTCCATCCTCCCTTCCTCCCAAGAAGGCTGTCAGTCAGTTTTGATGATCGGGTGACATATGGATAAACACACAGACACACCCGTGAAAAATCTTATCATTAATGAACTAGAGAGATTTGGATTTTTTTAATATGGGGTGAGATAATATTTCAGGTGAACCCTTAAGACACCATTTGTTTTGCTAGTAAAAATGGTGGAATATCCATTGGTCTTTCTAAACAATCTGCCACTGAAATAAGGAGACTCAATTTGTGAGTAGGTAGGAGAGGGAGTTTTGAAGCAGCAAAATGGAGCTGGGAAATGCATACATCCTATAGTGTGAGGATTCCCCACTCCTGCAGTGTGCTTGTAAAACCAACAATTGGGCCTTTACTTTTATTCTGTCTTGAAATAATCCTCTACATCTTTTCTGAGGGTAGCTTTGAGATGTAGTATGATTTTGGTGGTGCAGTGGTTAAAATGCAGTGGTGCAGGCGAACTCTACCCGCTGCCAGGAGTTCGATCCTGGCAGGTTTGAGGTTAACTCAGCCTTCCCTCTTTTTGAGGTTTGTAAAATGAGGACCCAAATTGTTGGGGGCAATATGCTGACACTGTAAACTGGTATATAGGTCTAAATGCTATTGCTATTTAGGAAGAAACATGTTATGTTCACCCACTCTGCCACATTTTAATGGGGCTCAGGAGGAAGTGGCAATGAAGTGTCTTCTTTGGCTGGAGGATATACTCAGAATTTGCAGATGAATTATTCTAGGAGCTACAGACAGGCAAGGCAAAAGAAATAGCAACTTGAAATCCACTCTTAATGTCCAAAGGTTGTGCTTCTGAACATATGGGAGCCTATACAAAACATTTCTACTTCCTTCCTTAATGTAACTACAATAGCAAGGTTAAGTGGGCTTGCATGCAGTAACACGTGGAAACAACTGAGAGCAGCTTCCAGAACAGCAATCCAAGCTTGGAAAAAAAGAGGTGGATGCATTCAAAGCTTAGGAATTTTTTTTTTGAATAGTCTCTCTCTTCCACTTTCCAAATTGCTATTGCAATCATAAAGAACAATGTGAACTAAAGAGCCTTAAAATTAGCCTGTCAGCAAAGCAATGCTATTAAGGGGAACAGTAAAAAACAAAAACAACCCCCGTTTTATTTCTAGCACTTTTTAAAATGCGTGAGTTGTGTTTCTATTACTTTCATTCTCTGAAATTTTGTTGCAGGTGTAGTGCAGTGTTGCAAACAGGTGTTTTGCTAACTTGAAGTCCATACATTTAAAGTTACCAAGTTTGGAAAACACCACTGTAAACTGTTCCAGTATACAAACCTGAGGCCTCTTAATATCATCTGCAAAGCACGTGCTTCACTCCTTGAGCTTCTGGCTGTTCTTTTTTCATTGACCTTTATAGTACTAAAATGAATTATTTTCCTATCTGCAAAACAGGAAAGCACCAGGAGGTATAGCATGCTGATATTGGAGGTGGAACTAACAGCACAGTCCTACTTTTCTTCTTGACATTTTCTGGCTGCACAGAATACTTCTAAAGATACCCTTTATAGTGGGATACTACAGTAGATATCTGAAACTTAAAAAGTTAGGCACCATTGGATCCACAATTTTTTAAAGTTTGGATGGCATCATGCCTTAAGGGTATTGATCCCACATTGCTTATCTTCCGAGATTATGTGGGATTTGTAAGAAACTCTTGGTACATACAAGGTAGTTTAACTTTGGGGAGTAGATGGAACTCTCTCAATGACTGTAATCACTTCCAGAGGGTCGATGGATTGATGAATGAAATGACAAATTTAAATTTTTTTGCATTATCCCATTCAGCTATCAGTTAATACATGCTTTTAATCATTGTTCCAAAAATATTAGCTATTGTATATGTGAAAAACATCCAGCTATTTTGTCATCAGAATTAAGTTTCTACTCTCCATCCTGTATGTATGATATTTACTTTGTTTTGCCCATTAGAAGTATCAAAATTTTTTCAATATAATAAAATAACCTTCCTGTTCAGTTCTCTACATAAAATCATTTTAATTTGGGGAAATTCTATATTACCCTTGAAAAATAATAAAGAGACAAAATCACTATTTAGTGATGCTTTAACAAATGCTATTCAGTTGCACATCAAAGTTTTGTGAGATGGATATATTTCTCTGCAATCATTAGTGCTTTATTCATATTTTTATAAGATCTGAGCCAATTTTATCCAGGTCAAACAAACTCGTGGGAACTGGGAGAAATCTTTAATGTTATCATTAGCTATCTAGTCTCTTGTGAAATATTGATTTTATATGACATTAGTTAGCTATCATAAACTGATTTACTTTATGGGAGAGTTAATCCTTTATAACGGCTCAAATTCTAAGTCTACTCCACTGCTTTTAGAAAGTTTCATATACTTTATACCTGTTCCTTTGCAGGAAAAAAAAATCTACTTATATATGTTTGAAATTTACCCAAGTCATTCCCCACCATCAACATTTCTATAATTCTATGAAATTGGTCAATGGTTTCTCACAATGGTCTTTTGTGCCTATAAATATCCCATCCTGCTGAAAAAGTTCAGCCAATTCTTTTTTCTATATCACTCTATGGAACAATGAAGCACCCTTTTTTCTTTACAGTCAATCAAACCACTTTGGAACAGACTATCTTTTAGATGATCCAATTAGATCAGGACAGTTTTGGAATTGGACTCTCAGACTACTTTAAGTGGTATTGACACTGCTAGCAAAACCATCAGATGATCGAATGACTAGCTTTCCACCAAATCTTTCAAATCTTATTGCTTGTAAATTTTCTGCATAGAATAGCTGTCTTTAAACTAAGTATTAAATGCCTAAAGACATTAAGTTATGCACCATCACGAACCTAACTGGAAGATAAAACAGTAAATGTATCCAGGACAATTTTTGGAATAATGGATAAAAGTTAATCTTGACATGTTTAAACTGATGTTATAGGTCTCCTTGACTAGGTTTACACAATATTTGACTAATCTAAAATAGGTAGATTGAAACTTGATAATTTTCCATTTAGAAAGTTGTAGGAAACTCAACTTTTGACTTAGCATGTCTCTTTGAGTTTTAGCCATCTTGTCATCGTTTGGCTTGCACATGTTGTATAAACACAGTAATTGTCCTTTGTAACCTGGATGTAACTTGAAAAGTGGTTTGGTTAAGAACTAGTTGTAAAATGTTCATTTGGGATAAGTCATAGCTTATATGACTGGTGTTCTGCTTAATGCTTATGCTTTCTGAATAGAATGAAACCAGCTCCTGTTTCAAAGATGAGACAGAGAATTTCTTTCTAGTCATTGGGTGAAAAATCATAGTACTCCTGACAAGAGAACAATCAGGAATGCAAAGGAAAAAGTAAAATCCTGACAAGGATTACTAGGATGAAGCAGGTTCAATCCTAATGGCACTGATGAACATATTTACTTTCTTTTGTTCATGTAAATGACTGCCATATATAGTGCAACACAGATACAAGATCTACTGTTTGGACTCTCAATTTTATTATTGATAAGATATTGTATGTATGTCTCTGTGTTGCTTAGGTTCATGATATAGAAAAACATAACTAGAAACAACTAGATTAGACAAAAAAAAGCCTATTTAGTCTACCATAATATTTTTCATCAAGTACATGATTCTGATTAGGAGAAAGTAAGAATAACAGCTGTTACTCTCAGCAACTGAAATTCAGCGGCATTCCTTATGCTGGAAATAAGATTTAGTCTTATGCTCGATAAAGGAATTCAGTTTGGAGGACATCCCATTATCCGGCATGTGCAAATAATTAGTTTCTTTTAACTACATGAAGTTATCCCTGTTCCACTTAGATGGCATCCTGCTTGCAGGAAAGCCTTTTCTTTCTACCTTTTTGTGTTTCTTCTTAATGTTTAAACAGTATCTTCTGTCAACAACAGTTCAGTCAAAAAAAAAGGGGGGGGGAGAAGCATAGTTTTCTAGCTAAAATTATACATTTCAAACCATATGGCAATCTTTTAGTTAGCAACCTTCAGCAACTACACTGATACAGTACCCACACAGGTTGCGTAAAATACCAATGGAAATTCTTATGTTATGATTGAAGAATGATTGCGAAATGAACAAATCCCTTAGGAAATTATTTGACTCTGCTATCTTACAAAGTAGTGATCCATCTGAATGTTGCTAAACATTAATATATCTGTAGGTGTGTTTTGTGATTAATAATATATTAGGTAAACTGAGAAGGTATACTGACCATAGTTCTCCTTTCTGTACCTTAAGTTCTCCTTTTTTCAAAGGTGATTTTTGGTTAGCCTTTAATTAAAGGATATATTACTGAGATGACTAATTTTGTAGATTGTTTCTGATTATTAGAAAATAGTTTTAAGCATCTGTTTCAAATCAAGATAATTGTGGAGGACGAGACATAGTTGTTGTTTTTAAAAATGAATGAGTTGATAATTGTGCTTAATTCTCAAGTATTCTGCATATGACTGGAGAGAGTGAATTTGATTAGATTAAAAAAATAGAAAAGAGTGTAAGGGAAGGCCACACTAATTTATTGATTAAAATAAATAAAAATCAAATCAAATATGGGTAGTATAGTCCAGCCTTCTGCAACCTGGTACTCTACATTTAGTGGACTACAATTCCATAATCTCAGCTAACATCTTATCCCTTGGCTAATATCCCAGTCATGCCAGTATATGAAGCCATCATACAGTCATGTCCTCAACTTCATGCAGAGACTACATATGGGGAGAGGGGAGCGTTAACTAATCTACCATCAGTGGATCGTTGTCTAACACTAAGAGCTGCACTAAGTTCTCCATGCATAACATATGATGTTCCATATGATGCCCTGGAAACTGTTCTTCTTATATCACTAAAGGGATAGGTATTCTTTTTGTCATGTTCCCATATTAATAGAACTGTACAGCTTAGAATCCCAGGAAGTCCTTTTGCAAAGGTACAAAACTGAACAAAATAATCTGGGAGGGAATCAGATAAAGTTGAGGACATTTCCTTAACCTGAAATAATGCAAGTTGTGCATTTGGCAAAATCAGTTTGGCAAGTAATTGTAAATGGGTTGACAAAACCGCAAAGCAGTGGTGAAATCCCCCCCCCCGGTTCTATTCAGCTGGCTGAACCGGTAACGCCGGCAGCAGGAGGCTCTGCCCACCCACCGGAACATCATTATGCCCCATTTTTTAATCACCTGCGCATGCACAGAAGGTTCTGCACATGCACAGAAGCATGCGTAGCACACGTATGCTTCCGCGCAGGAGCACACCCAAACCGGTAGCAAAGGTAAGTGGATTTCACCGCTGCCGCAAAGTCAATGGGGAAGCCAGATTTACTCAGCAATCATGTGAGTGACTTAACAACTGCAGTGATTCACTTAAGAACGGTGGCAAGAAAGGTTGTAAACGGGGGCAAAATTCACTTAACAACTGACTCACTTAACAACAGAAACTTTGGGCTCAATTGTAGTTGTAAGTTGAGGACTACCTGTAGAATGATGTATTGATTGTATTCTGCCAAAGGTCTGTCTGGATTACTAATAGAATTTTTGAAATTTATGACCTAATATGATTTCACTGGGAATTCAAAAATGCATTTCTGGAGAAAACAGTAAGTGTCTAGATGCAGTTTTTTTTAAAAAAATGTTCCCAATTTGATGAGAATTTAATAACAAATGCCTTGATGGATTCCATACCAGCTTTTCTGAAAAGAAATGAACAAAGGGATATACCTTTTGAAAAAAAAAATAACAAAATGAAGGATACAGGCTTGTTAAGCCTGGTATCCAGGGAGTTCCTAGTTTTAGTCTCTGACTAAAGGGAGCTAAAGGGACAGAGGCAGGCAAGGTGGCCAATCTAATTTTTACAAATGCTATTCCATTTTTTTTAAAGATCACCAAAGAAGTTAAATTGTTTTCCTCTCATGTAACACTGCTTAGGCATTCCTAAAGTTTCCTCTTGTAATACAAACTTATCTTAAACTAATGGATATACGAGCCAAAATCCCCCAAACAGCTCCAAAATCAAAGTATTGAATGTTTGAATGAGGCATTTTGTTTTGTATTTCCTTTGCCATGGCATTGGGTTCTTATTGTACAACCCTGTACAGTACTTCTTCAATATATATATATATTTATATATATATTTATATATATTTTAAAGATTTAAAAAGCAAAAAGTTACAAAACTGTTTGCAATTAACTTGAAATAGAAAAGATAGCACTTTTTTTAAATCCCATTATATAGTACACCATATAAATTACAGAGTATTCAAATGCGCAAATGCATTTGCGTAACATTTATCAAATGTAATTTTTGTTGATTTGTGTGTGAGCAGATTAATTTTGCTTGCTCCCTCTGGGTTTTTGCTTGTGGTAATATTGCCTCACCACACACCTCACTATCACGTATGACAGTGTTCCAGGTCTGAGACACTGCTGTTGCAATATCGCATATTGTTGGGGATGTGGCAGTCTGTATAGTTAATGCCCCCATTTGGGGTATATATAGGCTGCAATCTGAAATCTCCTTTAAGGAGCTGATCATTATTTAAGGAGACAATCTGAAAGCTGGTTTCTGTCATCTCCAGGATGGAGTTGTCCTTCTTGGTTCCTGCCTCACAGTAGTCATCTTTCCGTCGCCCACGGTTGTATTTCCACTTCTGAGAGGTGTAGCGTCCTTTTTTGTGCATGTGCCAGCAGAAGATACTGAGCAGAACCACCAGCACAAATACAACAGCCCCCCCAATTAAGCCTGCTAACAGAAATGGAGAACCAAGGTTATGAGAAGTTGTCTGTTCGTGGCTAGAAGCTGAGTTGCTTCCATTATTCAATAGGGAAGCCTTCGTTGTGCCTTCTGAGCACACAGTGTCCTCACCAATGCGGTAATTGTTAAAATCATCCAAGGGAACCAAACAAATCCGATATGTAGATTTGGGCTCTAAATTTGTCAAGCTGATGTTCTGTCTCTTATCAGTAACTATCCGTTCCTGAATAATGCCTCCTTCCAGACTATGACCCATTTTAACCCAAGTAAGCTTGTAAGCCATCACATTAAAGAGGGAATGCCAGCTCACTTGGATGCAAGTGCCATTTACAACGTGGATAAACAGCTGAAATCGTTCAACAGTGGGAAGGGTCATTTTTTCTTCATCGTTCCTCTCAGGCACAGTGGGGAGTGTGGTTATAGTAGGGGCAAGAAGAATGCTTGTTTGTTTATTACTTGGGGTTAAGTGTGATGAAGTAGGGGCCATCGTGGTTGGCAAAGATGTTGTGGGAATATGGGTAACAAATGAGACATCTGGGGTAGTTGTGGGGCATGCCAACATGTTCATGTTGAGTTCCCTGACAGCCATACCTCGGACTTGTTCTGGTCCCTGACACATGAATCCTCGGACATTGATGGAGGAAGGAATTATTTTGAGCCATTCAGTAACCCATTTAATACTACAATCACATAACCAGGGATTATTCCTTGCCGTCAGTTGTTTCAAGCTGCGAAGATTGTCAAAAACACCTTTAGACAGCATCCGGAGTTGATTGTTGGAAATATCAAGTCGTTCCAGGCGATGAAGATTTGAAAAGGCTGAAAGTGGTATGTGTGATATCTGGTTGTCCTGTAAATAAAGCCTAAGTAGATTTGTACCTGGAAGATCGGGAGGTGGGTATGTCAATGAATTCCTTATTATAGAGAATTCCTTAAGTTTAGATAAGTGGCTGAAGGTGCCATCTGCAATGCCTTTATTTGTAAGGAGATTACCATCCACTATGAGACGTTCCAAACTTGTGAGATTCTGAAAGGCCATGTCTGATATGATGGCAATTCGATTTTCATCCACTCGTAGTTCTTGTAAGTCCATTGGAAGGCCAACTGGTACACTGCTTAAGTGATTCTTGGATAAGAACAGAAGCTTGAGGCTAACAGCTTCCCGGAATGCCCCATCCTCCACTCCAACAGTAGAGATAGAATTATCATCCAGATGAAGCTCTTCCAGTTTCAAGAGTTGTGCCAGAGCAGCCCGAGAAATGGTCTGAATGTTGTTTTCTTGCAGGTGGAGAACCCTGACATTCTTGGGGAGATTCATAGGGAACTCATCTAGCTGGTTGCCATATAGGTAGACTGTGTGCACAGACTGGACATTGTGAAGTTCTGCAGGAAATCCAGCATTATTAATTTGGTTATTGTGGAGGTAGAGTATGGTTACACCCTCCGGTATTCCAAGAGGCACTGAGGTCAAGCTTCGTTCATTACAGTAGACAAAGTTTCGGTCGCAACGGCATACACTTGGACAGGCCAACGCTTTGGAAAACTGCACATACAATCCCAGAAAAAAAACAAGCCAGGATTTCAAAAAAGCAAACCTGTCCATGGGCCACATTCTAGTCCACGGGCCCATTTCTAACTGAAGAAAGAAGGAAGAGTTGAGCAAAAAGAAGAAATAAAACAAAATAGATGTGTTTTGTCCTCTGTGCAGATGATTGTTATATTCCTAGAAACTAAATGCAAAATAATCCTTGTACAACTGGACGGTCCTCCAGTCTGCTTCTGAAAATCACTGTGTTGTTAGCCAGGTTTACACATTTTGATGCCTTCCTCCATGTATGCTAAATGGCAGAGTAACTATGTCCTATACAGAAGGCCAATCCTCAATGAGAAGTTCCAAACGTTGACAGCAGACAGGATGGTTGGATTAGCTTTTCCTTTCACTCTGGTATTAGTAGTGAAAGTGCATTCAGGTTCCTTCCGTCTAAAAGGCATTCATTTCGGCTTTAAGCTGGGTTTGAGAAATCTGTTGAGAGAGAAGAAGAGAGAGAAAATTAAAAAGGCTGCATTATTAGTTGACAAACATCCTGTGAAGACAAATCCATTAATGATGTGACTTGGTAACATAAATAAGCCAGACCACATTCATAAATAATTCAAACTAAACTGAAAAAACAGCTGGGAAAGGAAAATGAATAATGGGTTCCTATGATGTAGACATGACAATGTGCAGTTGTACAGCAAGCAGCAGAAATAACAGGAAAAGTAAGCTAGGAATACATGTATATTTTACAGGAACATCAGAAAAGCAATAAATGTTTACTGAATAGATGTTTCTCTATCTTTATTTGCATGGAGAAAATATCTGCTGCAAACTCCACGTAGGCATCAGGAAGGGGTCTGACCAGTAAATGCTCAGCTCCATTAAGTTGCCCCAACCCCACCCTGAAGCAAGGATTACAGAGTCGTAAAAAGAAAAACAAAGGTTATGTGAAGGTGAACAGACTGTAGGCAATTTGTGAGCGAACGGGTTCGCTCACACAGAGAGGGCCTCCTCAGGGTGCCGTTGGCCAGGCAGTGCCGGCTGGCTACCCCCAGGGGGAGAGCCTTCTCTGTGGCACCTGCCCTCTGGAATGACCTGCCCCTTAGATACGCATGATATCAGACCTCCGGACTTTTCGTCGGGCCCTGAAGACACACTTGGTTCCATCTAGCTGGGCTGGCTTGATCCCATCCTCTCAGTTTTCAATCGAATTTCGATTTTAATTGGGTTGTTTTAAAGTTGGGCCAAAATTATTTAATTGTTTTTAAAAATGTTTTTAAATTTTATACGCTATGTTTTATTCTGGCTGTACACTGCCCTGAGTCCCGCAGGAGAAGGGCGGTATAGAAATATAATAAAATAAATAAATAAATAAATAAATTTCCTTCATTTATGACTTGGAGAGGTGTAATTCAAGATGTTAATATTATTCAGATAATTGTTGTCATTAAGACAATTGTTAAATTTCAAGTCTTCCAAACACATTCCTGAATTTCTCATGTCTGTGTTAGACATCCATTTTATATAGAATCACTACATCAAAGTTTCCTGAGATTCAGTCTTACAGATATAGAGCTTTTTCATTGGATGGGTGGCAAAAGCGTCATTTCATCCTTTGAAACTATAGTAGTTTAAACTTTAATAAAGAAGTAAGGATAACTCAGGTAATGTTATATCACAAAAAAGCTTGTACTAGACTTCTTTGCAATAAAGTTTCTACGTGAATGCACAAAGCTAGAGGTCACAAAATTAAGGCACTGGGAATCAACACTGCAATCTGCAGAGTTTGGGGAACATTTTCCTGCACTGTTAGGTTTTCCATTACATGTCAAATATTCCTTAATTTTGCTTTCTCTTTCTGGCTATATTCATTACTTAAAAGCGATTTTTTTTAGTTCCTTATAACATGCTGATAGAAGATTCCCCTCCCCAAGATTATTTACCATTCAGTTATGACTAATAATTTCTATTTTTATATATATTACATATTTAATCTTTAATGCTGTAAATAATTTAACAATTAATTTATTTAAATCAAATGCTGTGCAAACTGCTACACAAATTTAACTATCAGTTTCTCTCATGTTTCTTAAAGGCAATTAACAACTGTCACAAACTATATTGAATGGGAAAAATGTCAGCATTATCTACCTATATCCCAAAAGTGCTTTTTTCAAGAGGCAATTGGAGTTTCTGGCTTTTTTTTTGAAGACATTTTGTTTCTCCTCCAAGAAGCTTCTTCAGTTCTGCACCTTTGGGACAACCATAACCTGGATGACTGAGAATTTCCATAGATATCTACTTATATATTTCTAGGTAGGCATGGGCATATAGGAAAAGTATATATACCAAAGTAAATCTTCCAGTCGACAATACTATAACACTGAATTATTGATTTTACATAGATTAGAAGTTTGTTACATATAGCAAATACAGCAAATTATATAAACTCTTTTAACTCCAAAGTTAAAACTGCTGAAGACAATCTGGAAACAAGAAAGAAAATCCATTCCTTTCTCCATTTTGCTATACTTGCACAAACCCAGCAGTCTGCTACTAAGAATATGATTATTCTGTTTCTGCCCCACATTGTGTACAGCATAATGTAATGGTTGAAATGTGGGACATGGTAGACCAAACTTCAAGCTGATTTTAGCTATATGGCTTATGTAGTGATTTTTACCACATTTCAGGCAAACCTAACATTTTTGTTTGCTGGGTTGAGTGATGAGGAAAGAGAGATATTCGTGTTGCTTTGAGAATCTAGATCAGGGGTGTCAAACTCAAGGACCGGGGGCCAGATCTGGCCCGTGGGGTACTTAGATCTGGCCTGCAGAGCCACTCTGGAAACAGCAAAGGACTGGTCTGCGGTGCTTCTGCTAGTGAAAACAGGCTCTGTTTTCACTGGCAGAGAGTTGAAGGAGGCTGTGGCAGCCGAAAATGGAGCCTGGGAGCCCATTTTCGCTGGCAGAGTGCTTGGGCCACCACAGGCGTCCACGACACAAATGATGTCGAGCTGGCCACATCCACCCTGGCCAGGTCTACCCCGGGCCCGAGGTGAAACACAACTCTGATGAGGCCTTCAATGAAATCAGGTTTGACACCCCTGATCTAGATCTAACAAATGAATATTATTCATGTAATGTAGTGACATATATGTGCCTACACATGAACACATATAAATCAGCAAATACAATGTTATGGACTAAGAAAATACATCAGATGCCCTCAATGCATTTCTGGTAAGTTGAAGCTAAATAAGAAAGCAAGTAGTGCCCTATATTTCAGTTTTTTCTCCAATGTCACAAAGTGGGTGGGGGTACAGAGAACAGTATGTTCACACACAAAACCCAGGGGAAGCATTCCTCTTTTGCCTTCAAATTTCTAAAAAATCTCACTGCAATCTGGAGTAGTCTAACCACATGATCTTATGATATTAAAATTCACTTTATTTTATGATGCTAGGAGGCAGGACTATAAAGATGATTCATCTTCTCCTTGTTCATATCCCTCTTGACACAATTTTAATTACACCTGTCTTTCTGCCTCATTTACTAATGGAGTTCAGAATTAGAAAAGGAACAAGCCAAAGCTGTAGGCATGAGATGGAAAAGGCAAATTGATGAATGAGAAAAGGGAGATGAGGGTTGAACACAGGGGAAATGTGCTAAGTGGAAGAAGGACTAATAACCAACACATTATAGCTTTACTGTGCATGTGTCCACCGTCAGTCTGATCAATGGCTGCATTGTTTCCATCTGTAATTTCCTTTGTCAACTGAGCATTCCTCAGGACAAAAGCTGCATCACCCACTATATTTATAAAGCAAGTCAGAGAAATAATTCCACAGGAGAAAAATAGTCATTCAGTGCCAAGAGTCGAAAAGGTTAGCCAATATAGAACTATAATAACAAACTAAGAATAAGCAGCAAACTATAGCAAGCTTGTTTGATTTTAGGCTAGCACAATATATGAATCCAGCCATTCTGAGTAGTAAATCCCCCCATATAGGATTTAGTATTATATTTATATTTGGCTATTATAGTTATTTAAAAGCTATGGATAAAACAAACGATGGCGTTGCATAATGCGTGAACTCAAACCTGTATCTTAAGCAAACGGTCAACATGGATATTTAGTTAGGGAAAATCTCAATCAAAGAAAAGAAAAATTCTAAGTTAATTTTAACATTTTAATTTTAATTTTCTCCTCTTACCCACCCACCCCAGCAAATATTTTTCAGTACGCTGGGAAACATATTCCAGCCCCTCCCGAATTTTATTGGTTCCCTCCTTCTTACTCATCCTGTCTCTCACTGTTTCCTTCTTTCATTAGTAGTCAGATTATGCTGACCTCTCCGAGTTGGATCAGTGCTACAGTATTACTGGCAATTACCAGTTCCTACAGTTTGAACCGTTAAAATCAGAATAGCTGACCCAGTTTCAGCTTATGGTAGCACTGGTCCCTGGATGAGCTGATCAAGTGCAAATGGAAATCGGTATAAGATGACTGAAAATGTATACGACATAGGCTCAAAATATTGTTGAGAATTACCCCCGAGCAACATAATACGTATTCTAAGATCAGCAGTATTCCGTCAGGAGTGCAGTGTTAAGCACTACAGTCTCATTCCCTGGAGCATAATTTCAGAGGTGAAACTAGAGGGGGCTATATCAGTAAGAGAAAACAAGAATCAAAATGAAGGGGAGGGGGAAGCATATTTTAAGGTCCTTTGTTGCAGAAAACACGAGATATTTGTTCTTAAGGAACAATGTTCTCAGACATTAAGGATGTCTTTACACTAGCCAAATCTATTTATCAGTTTTGTTTATTTTGAAAACAAAGAATGTTCAAGGATTTAGGACAGCAACGCCAGCAGCATAGCAAATGACCAAACTGTAGAGAAGAATTACAATCTTTTTATCTTACTCTACTCTATGTAGCTGATAGGGATGCCACTTAGGATTTACTAAGATACTGCTCAAAACTAAGGAGTAGGTACGAACTGCTGATGGTTGCAGACATTATGGTGGGATAAAGCTTTGAAGGGGTGCTTTGTTTTGATAACAGAATGATGCACTTCTCTTGAAGCTGCTTTGCAAAGTAATATGGATTCCCCAGTTATAGAAAGTCAGGGTCCTGCATTGCTTTTGTTTTTCTTATTTTTGACATCTTCAACAGAAAGTCTCAATAGATTCCCCCCCCCCCCGGAATCACCGGGGTGGCTTTTCTTCAGTGTACTCACAACACACTCAGTAATCCCTTCTAGCTACTAAAAAGGCCAAAGGAAGCTGCAGAAAGAATGCAAAGTATTTTGAGATTAATTGAATCTTTTTTTTTTTCTTTATCAAGCAGAGTTACAAAAAGAAAAGAAAAGAAAAGCTCTAGTAAATGTCCAACAGCAGTTAGTTTTATTCTTGCCTTTCTTTCCCTCCTTCCCCACCTTGACCTTTCTGGGAGGGAGGGAGGGAGGAAGGAAGGAA